ATTGTAAGCATGTCTTACAAATATGAGGCGGACATATGAGGATTCAGATTCTGGATCATTTACGGTACCTGGGGGATTAACGTCCACTCGACACAAACTAAGAGTTATTCCGAGACTAACATGGTGCAATTTTATTTTAAAAATTGGCGATGAGAGAGAGAAAGAGAAATGAAATGAAATGAAATTGGGGTTTGACGTCCTACTGTTGTGCTCCAAACTGGGCTAATGAAGACGGACATGCGCCATACAGTGTGCTATAAGGGACATTTTGTCCGGACAGCGGCAATACGGCCAACTCTTATATCGAATCCCAACTGTCAAGGGATCTTTTACGTGCACGCCAACGTGTACACGGGACCTCGGTATTTCGTCCCATCCGAACAACTAGACAGTCGTCTTTGTCAGGACGCCGTCCTGCATCACTGACAAGGGGGAACCACGCCGGAAAGTATGGATGAACTTTCTCGGCCAATGCAGGGATCGAACACCCGACCTCCAGACTAGCAAACCAGCGTCTTACCCACTTAGTCACCGTGACCCCTGAGAAAGAAAGAGAGAGAGAGAGAGAGAGTTTAACATCCAGTCGACGCAAACTAAAACATTTCAATAATTCGTTTGCACGTAGGGGTCTTTAGCAGTGGGTAGAAACTGGGGTATCCGCAGAAAACCCACAAGGTTGGTCAAGCGGCCCTACTCCTTTGTCATGTTTAAGCCACACCACTTCAATCAATGACAGACCTTGTGATTTCACGCGCACGTGTTAAACCACTAGACCACCCAACCCACATGTAAGACGGATTTTATAAGTTTATAATAGACCTACATAATAAATTAAATTGTCGTAGTCTAAGGTGTTTTTTTTATCAGACATTTTTGGCAGATAAAATATTTCAGTTGGCGGAAAAAAAATATGAACAATTTTTTTATATACAAATTATTATCCATTTTGACGGGAAAAAAATGAGCACCGATTGCACGTATTCAAATGCGACCTCGAAAATTGAGACTACAACAACATCCGAGGCGAAAGTCGAAAAGTCGACGGTATGACAGCAAGTCAAAATGATAGGTCGTTAATAGCGCGGTATGTTAATTTCCTAATTTCTACTTTTCGAGTTGCATTATAGCTTGGTATGCGTGTTGGTGTCTTCTTACTGACATCAATAAATACAAAACTATGACTAAGTCGAAAGGCGACAAGACGGTATACAAGCCAAAATGCAAGTCGAAAATTAGAAATTAGGAAAAAAAGAGGGGCGCTATTATCGCGGTGTGTTATTTCTTAATTTCCTATTTTCGAGTTGATTTTGGCTTGTATAGGTGTTGTCGCCTCACATTTTGTCGTAACTTCTACTTTTCGACTTCCGCGTTCTGAAGAGGCGAAAAGTAGAAATTATAAATGGTAGTTATAGGCTTCCATAGGAATCAAGGTCCCTGGCCGCTCGTCTACTACGGTCCATCACTGACAGGGCTCATTAGAATAGTAGTTTGGACACGGAAGTAACTGGTCGAGTAACCCCAAATAATGACCAGCAGAGGGTACAGAAGAGCCAATTTCGTTTATGGGGATTGTGTTGCCTGGTAGTATAGTCGTGCGCTATTGCGCACTGTGTCTGTCATGTTTTCAATCCGGAGTTTGAACGTGACAACGAGTAGGCTTGCCTGTCTAGTCTCGAGGGGTACTCCAGTGTCCCACCTGTACCCCCCCCACCCCTCCACTCTTTCTCACTCTTATACCGTTTCGATCGGACATGGTTTTAGTATAATAATGTATACAGAGCGACCATGTAAATTACAAAATGAAATGACAGCTTCTGGGTTTGATGATAATTGATCAATTTAATTTGATGTTTGACTCTCTTTAGCTGACTGAACACTGTACTGCAGCATCGCGGCCTTTATTAATCTACATTTCACTGTCATGTTTGAACAACTACGTCTTGTATAATCAATAATTATGGTGCGATACGAACTGTACATGATGTTGATAACTGTTGTTCGACAAACACGTTTAGATAATTTCATCAATTAGGTGACATATTTTCACTTCTTTGATGAAATACATTTGGTATTTTATCAGGGAAAGTTAACAATGATAGTCAATTAATTGATAGTGTGTATATCAAAAAGTACAACCATAAAGAATTGATTAAATTAATGTAGCATTTGTTAATTTCACAATTCATTTGTAAACAAGCAATCTAATTAAATCAGTCTTCCAATTGGTTTCATTTCGTTTTATATTTCGTATTTTTTTTTATATTTTACCATATAATATATTGTATAGCCTCAGGACACTGTTCAGTCTGGGAATATTTGGTCTCGATCCAAATTTATTCAGGGGAGCTAACTCAACATGTATAAAAAAATGGCGCCGCTTCGAAAACTCAGATCGCTATTTCTCCGTCATTATTTATGTCATACTAAATAGAAATAGCATGACAGGCTTATTCATCGTCGCAGAAAACGACTTGGAGCTACAGATAAATAGATGGTGCTCGTTTCACGTGACTGAACTCCATATAAAGTCTCGATTCAATAGACCAAATGTGTACATGTGCAGCAGTAGAAATAGTCTGGTTCATTGCGACTAAAGAAGAACCGGAACAATTATTTACCATCAATCAATCAACAGAACAAGGCAATCGATGAATGTAGACTAGGCCACAGACGTTTTTTGTTTTGAAAGTACCCAGGCTACAACCTGTGATAGGGGATATACACGGTGATATTCTAGTTGACAAGAGCAATCACTTGTACTTAGAAAATCAGACACCCACACTTCATAAACACAAGGCGAAATGAAAGGAAATGGGGGCTAACGTCCTACTGTTCTGTTCCGACAAGGCTAATTAAGACGGGCATACAACATAATGCACTGTGCTATGTGGGAAATTTTGCCCGAACTGCGATTGATGATTACAAACAACCTCTACCCTCACAAATAATAGGGAGATGTCCATATTGTGTCGCGGATAAATTGATATTCATGTCACTGTGTCTTTTTGCAACAAATTTTCTACAGGGCGAGCGAGGAGATTGCTGATAATACGGCATAACTATCGCGATGAGAAGATAATTACGGGTTACGACTCCTCCAGGTTAAAAATCCACACGTGGTTACGACTCCGCGTGGTTACGACTCCATCTAGGTTACGAGGTGTTTGGCTTCCAGTGTTTTAAACATTTATAAATGATGTATGTTGAATGTAACGATGGGTAATTATCAATAGACAATACATGAGAAGGTTTATATTGACCATAATATATTACATTATATACACGAATTACGTCTATAATACAGTCATTAGTCGCAATTAGCAGAGACTGTGAAAAATGAAATGGGGTTTAACGTCTTGCCGTATGTTATGAGTGAAATTCTGCTCTGCCCTGGTTTTATTCGCGAGGCACTGCGGCTGCTACAATGATTAAAATACATATCTATATTTCGTTTCGTTTTTTTATACCTTCGATGGCCTACACTACATGAAGACCTGACCAGTTTTACTGGAAGGTCGCGTAAGGGGCTGTACGAGTGGCTTTTGATACTATGACGTTAGATATTGGTTAATCAATCAGCGTTGACGTTTCTAGTGATTTACCCAGTTCCGTGCATGACACGCCAAGAAGTCGTCGTAACAGATGGTTTCATTGGCTAATCCAGATCTGTGTTTTAATCAGATTGTGAGAAGCAGAAATTGCGCCAGATCAGTAACCCATATTCATGATTTAAATTTAACAATAAACAAGGACAATTTAACAATACATAAGGATAGCACCTTCTTGATTTAAATTTAACATAAATAAGAACAACACCTTCTTGATTTAAATTTAACATAAATCAGGACAGCACCTTCTTGATTTAAATTTAACATAAATAATGACAGCACCTTCCTGATTTAAATTTAACATAAATAAGGACAACACCTTGATTTAAATTTAACATAAATAAGGACAACACCTTCCTGGTTCAAATTTAACATAAATAAGGACAGCACCTTCTTGATTTAAATTTAACAATACATAAGGACAGCTTCTTCTCGATTTAAATTTAACAATACACAAGGAAAGTAAAGTGGTCTTCAGATAGTAATGGTATGTTTGTTCGTAAGATTACATTTTATTGTATACAGTCTAAACGTCTGTAATTGTCTTTTAGTCTGGAATGTTGTGCCTATAACCTAACAATAATATATAACTATTTCTGGTATTGCGAGGCTGCACAAAAACACAAACAATGCAGCACAGACAAAACATAACGTAACAGGCGACCTACGAAATGAAAGAACAGTCTGGGAGTGCCTATGAGCAGCTACTTTCCGATGTTGTTACGGTGTTAATAAACAAAATTTAGTACAAAAGGGAGTTGGGGGAGTGGGCAGTAGACTAATATCTCAAAAGAGACAGTTATTTGCTACATATAAATGGATCCCATTGCGTATCTTACCAAAATGAATTGAATTGGGGTTTAACGTTCTTCTTTTCCGACTGGGCTAATGAAGACTACCGTATCTTACAATTAATCTCGTGGTTGTAATCCCACTTCGTTCTCGGTCACCGCTCTACCATTGTCAAATCCTAATCCATATACAGATTGCGTGTATTACCTTGACCATGAGATATATCATGTTATCAAACCAACATGTCAATAAACAGGGCATTTCTTGATAAACATCTGAGCAGGTTTCCCGAATAGTTGGTACTAACAAAGGTTCTCTTTCATTTACAAAGGGATTTTTAAAAAAAAAAAACAAAAACAAAAAAACACATGAAAGATGTATTATCTAAGATTTAGACAAAGGGCAAGCCGTTTCTTGCTATAATATATTGAAAATTTCATTCAAATTACTTTATTCTGGGCGAAGCTATAGGTGGGTTTCTTAATGAGGGCCAAGTAACGCTCTTTTCGTATAGAAATACCGTAAAATTTGTAAAGAACTATTGATTAAGTTTTGCAATTGGTTGTAACTAGGAATGAAAACATAAACTAAAAGACTTACCTTTGCTATCCTTGAAGATGTGGGATCTTGTAAGAAAGTCCATATTTTAGAGCGATATCGTTGCCAACATGTAGAGTTATGTTTGTTCAAGATAATGTTTTGGGTTGTGGACAATTTACGATCGTATTCCAGTTTTTCCAGGGAACGACACTGAGTTTTCCAGGTATTGTAGTTCGTCCAACAACACCTCTCGATATCTAGTTCATCAATGCCCCAGAATACCAACTCATTTTGTAAAGACGGACCACACATATTTGTTGGTATGTGTAGTTCCCCGGATCTCAAATAGTTCAGGACGGCAGCAAAAGCCGTGGGGTCACGATCAAAGAAGTAATCCCCCGATTCTGGTCTATAATATAACTTTAATTTCTCATCGTTCGCCAACATAGAATTCTTCAAACGCCGCAAAGTTGATCGGTACGTTTCAAAAATATGTCCGCCGATGTTCATTTTGACCGTATCCTTACTCCCACCACGGCGACGTTTTTTGTTGGCAGTATATTTCGGTTTAGAATTCTGGCAAGAACACACATCTTCGTGAATAATGTCATCCGAGCGCGAATTTTGATTTCGATCCGGTAACGTTTCGTCCGTTATCCGCAAGCCACACTTACAATCACATATTGGGGGAACGTTTTCACTGGGTTCTTCATCGTCTATCAGATCGGTCATAGTGGAACTGTTTTTCCGAAGTCGCCCAAAACTGGACTTTCTCCGTCCTCCGCTCCATTCGAAACCGCCAGCCGGAAAAGATGGTCTTCTCTGAAATGATAATAATGCCATAGCCATTTTAAAAATTATTTGGAAAAACTTAGAAACTTAAACATGTGATTTATATACAGTCAGTGGAGCACAAGGCAGATAACGACTTGTGTCCGATAGCAGCATGATATTGTTATGGCTACCACAGTCTACCAATCTAATCATATGGTACTAATAGAAGACTGTCGTTACAAGTTGCATATAGTACAAGTGAAATGATAGGACGGAGAGTTTAACCAATCAATGAGAAATAAAAGTTCACCTGAAGGAGAAAATCCATGATCTAAGGTGCCCCAAGGGGAACACACAGACACAAAATCCTGCCTAACTGTCACTTCCAATAAACTAGAATAACGATATCCCCTACTAAGCACTGCCACACGAATAACTCACAATTGTTAACCGAGTTACATATTTATATTCAATCTCTAAACAGTCCACACTGTATGTAAAAAAATATAAAATTATTGACTTTTAAAATATATGAAGCCAAACATGATACACGTAGCTCTCTATGTCAGCGCGGGCGTCGCTATCTCGCCACGCTTATTATCTTCCATATTCAATCTAAAACCCATCCATGTCCAATAAGTCTGTCTAAAACAGGAATTTGGATCAACTCAAGCAAAAGGCGAAGTTGAAATACATTGAACCTTCTCGTGTTATAGTTGTTTAAAAATCCTACTGGTGAACATCGAGTCGATTTGTCGGCAATGCAAATCGAGTTTTCACAAATCAAGTCATCTGTATACCGAGGTTTGAAATTTATCTAAATCTGTTACGACATTGACACCGAGACAGTTAATCGTTCTCGGGTTTATCTATGTGCATGATTTGGATTAGTTAGCGACTTTTTGTGTAACGCTTAACGCCCGGAGTGTTTCAAGACAGGCTAATTGCGTATTGACTTTATGACTTTATAATTGTGGCGCAAAGCGAGTCGCTTAAATACCCAAGAGAGGTTGTGATCTGAATATACAGTGTCCATGGGGAAGATATATCTTCTGTCAGATTAGTTATTACTTATAAATATAAAGCGACACGTACCTAAGATTCACGGCGGTTGTACATTTATGGTTAGAAATAAAATGGAGTTTAACGTTCTACTGATCAGCACCGACTGGGTTAATGAAGATGGGAATACGCCATTCAGTGTGCTGTAAGGGAAATTTAGCTTGGACAGCGGCGCTATGTCCTACTCTTATATCGAATTCCCTCTGTCAAGGGTTCTTTATAGGCAAACTCGTGTTTTCGCCCCATCCAAACGACTTTACGATGTTCTTTTTCAAGCACCCCCCCCCCCCCCACTGCACCGATGACGAATGGGAACCAGGCGATAAGAGTAGAGATGCCACACCACAATAACTAGCAAGCACAAATTAATAAACATTAGACAAATAAACGGGACAGCAAGATGGATATTGTAAGCTTAGAGATAAAATGACAAGATAAAACGAGAAAAATAGAAAAAGTTCGCGCATTACCAAGTTTTTATTAAGTATAGAATGAATAAAAACAAGGGAATGTACAGACTATTTCCCTTATTTAGTGACATTCAATTACTTTTTTGAATTATCAGATATCATCTAACAGCCTCACATAACAACTTTTGGTCTTCGAAGGAATTATTAGTGAACAGAAATTCTATTATCACTCGTCACTTCAGTCAGTTATATAGAAGAATAACTCCTTCTTTTCCTTTTGCGTTCGTCACTTCCCTTTCTTGAAATCTTCATAACGCATCTATCGTAGCAATGATATCTGTATTAAAATTATATTTGGAACGTATATGTAGTTAACCAGTTCTAATGACTGACACCAATATTGTCCTTTAAGATTACATAGTGGTATTAGGATGTTTGGATGTAGGAGATTATCCGTCAAAGTAAACTCCTTTACTTTGTTATATATTTACTTTTTACAATAAAATTTTATCCAATTTATATAATGTCACATCAGTACAATATTTTTCTACGTTTACACGTGTAATGCGAGGATGAGGGAATTCCGGTAGACATCGGTGTTTCTGTCTTCTACAATTCCCAACTGTCAGGCGTTCTTTTACGTCCATTATCAATTTGTACATGTTTTTTTTTATCCCAATCGAACGATTTGGCAACACTTTTCACGTCAGCCCACAGACGCAATCGTTGACGGCTGTACTTTAGGTGTCCATTATCAAGTTAGACTTATGTTAAGCTTGTAATATAAGTGATATTAATATGGAAACATACTCAATATCACCTTACTTTAGTATCCGGTATCATATAGTCTGTCATAGTTTAATTATAAATTAAGCTCATTAGACTAAGACTTTGCCATGGGAAGGTCATGCAATTTAAGCCAACTTCAAGATCTATAATAGAGGATATATTTTTGATGTGAGCAAAAGGGGGCGGGGTGCATTCTTGGCATAACTTTATTAATACTGAACATAGGACTCCACTTCCTACTTTGATCACCTTCAAGAGAAGTGTCTTAAAGTGGCCGCCATTGCTCAGAATCTAATCTTTAGCTTTGTTTGTGTGTGTGAAATAGCTTTATTTAACGTCCGCTCCCACCGAGGTGATATCGCAGAAAAAAGCTTTGTTTAACTAGGCTTTTATTTTATACGCATCGTACGTAACTATCGCTCGAAAACTGAATGTTAGTTCAGACTGTATACGCATTAGACAAATTTTTGTACCAGAGATTGAAAGTCTGGCTTACCTGTAACCAACACCGTATTGTTATTTAAGACAATGTTTTCTGTTTTCCATTTTAACCCTCTGTTATTATTTGTTATGTCAATAATTAACCTATAACAAGCGTCCAACACCCGTATGATTCAGTGAAATACCGAGAAGGATACATAATAATATGCGTAACTCTTATCAGTGTTAGGGTTAATGTGGAAACGAGTCATAAAATAAATAGAACATTTGTCGTTTTGTCGTGAATAACATATTTTATTTCATCTCTACGCAAAAAAACGTTTATATTTTCACTCATGCTACGCATTCGTGGAAATATAAGTTTTCTTGCTTCTCGATGAAATAAAATATGTTATTCACTCTAAAACGACAAATATCCTCTATATCTTCGGCATTTACTATGAATATTATAACTTTGATGCTGTGGTATATTTACTATGAATATTATAACTTTGATGCTGTGGTATATTTACTATGAATATTATAACTTTGATTCTATGGTATTTACTATGAATATATCCTAACATTGATTACTCTAGCGGCGGTATTTACTATGAATATATTCTAACTTTGCACAAACAGCCGTTGATTATGGATTGACTTTTTTTAAGGAACGTCAGAATTTATGTCAAGGCTGTACAGTGTAATTAGTTTAATGTGCAGGATTTTTATTTTGCTAACACATGTATGGAAGTGTAAGATATGGGTTTTAAAGTAGCAAAATTCATTTTTCAGTTCAATGGAGTAAGCGGAAGTCGGTATGTTTACATTTTTAAAAATTATTTTACTTCTAGATATGTTAAAATACAATTAGGCCATCTGTTTGGCAATCTAAACTTAATTTTACCTAAATTTTATATTCATTCACTACAAAAATTGAATTGTAGATTTGAATTGCCTTATAAGCGCACAATAATTTAAAGAAGTTAATTACTACAAAGCGTCAACCACTAAGTCTCAGTCTGTCGTTGTTATATTTCGCCCAGCACGTGCGGGCTGTATCATAAGGTCTGTAATTGAGTCAACTGGCGTGGTTTCGATTCCCCGGTTGAACGTGACAAGGAGTAGTGTTGCCTGTGAAACCTCGTGGGTTTTCTCCGAGTCCTTCGGTTTCCTCTCAAGCGAATTATTGAAATAAAATTCAACCATAGGTTAGTCCCGAAATGACCTTGTTTGTGTCGAGTGTACGTTAAACCCCAAAACCCAATCTCTCTCTCTCTCTCTCTCTCACTCTCTCTCTCTCTCTCTCTCGAGATTATCCACACGTTGCGCGGAATTGTCTTAGAAAAGTTGGTGATTATCATAAAAGCTTCCATTCAAGTATCCCCAAGGCTGATACTTCTTCCCACTCGAGGAGTTCCGCTTATGGCTAATATGTTTTTGATGTACTTATATATATACGTTTTTTGGGGTAACATATATTGTATTCCCAGTAGTGTTTTCCAATTGATGATTATGTATATTTACGATTGCGAATGTGGACAAAATGCACATTTTAAAACATTGGCTGCTTAAAGCAAAATTCGTTATACCCCACAGTAAAATCCGTTATATTCGTTATATCTGATAGTAAAATTCGTTATATCTGATAGTAAAATTCGTTATATCTGATAGTAAAATTAATGTGTTATATCTACACGGTTTAACAAGATTTTTCGGTCAAAAATAACTAACAGCCCTCTTTATCATATTTAGGTTCTTCAAAATCCTTGATAAGGTTTTATTGAACAATGAACATTTCGTTTGCTACATAATGGATTTCTTTAAAGGACCGAATTTTCCACTTTAAAATTTAGTAGTATGGTGGACCACAAATGTCACTCCCAAAAGACACCCTCACCACCTATACTCGAGGATTCAGACTTCCAGACGCCTGTGTTACTAATATATTTTTCCATTCTTAGAAATGAATTCGTAATAAATCACTTTCCGATAGCACAGAATGAAGAATTGATTATGCCATATATTGTTTTCCTTTTATTCATAATAAATATTCATGCATGATTTATAGAGCGTTTCAAATTACCTGCCAACGCTATAAGATGCATAATTATATACCCGTATAAAACATACGTATAGGCTTATAGATCGTTTCTTAAAGCTGATACCATGTTAGCTGACGGCATCAAGCCAATGAATAAATTTATTGACAATTATGTTTTTCTGTATTTTGATGAGGCCGTCATCATTTATCACCGACCCATATACACGCTGGTTTTCTTCAATTCTCGTAAAGTCCGCATAAATTCTCTGTCCTCGGAATGTTTGTAGATTTGGATGTAGATTTGGACCGACTAGAAAGTCTCT